GAGAAGTGTCTTGCAGCCCTTACTCAGAGGCACCAAATTCCGCCCTGCTAAGGCGTATTTATCCCACGCGCCTTGTGAATCTATCGTGCTGCTGCTTTTATCGCTTCATTTATGAAGTACAGTTTACCACATGAATGGATGTATGAAATACATACTGCAGCCGTAACTATGATAGCGGTTGTTTTCATGATGCCCACGGGAAAAACTTTCAAAAATGCTTGTCAACTGCTGTGCAAAACAAATGTTTTTTCGCAGCTTTTGGCCCTTTGACTTAGTTTTTTTTCGACATTTTCCCGCTATATAGATATCCCGCGTTGCTATTTCGGTTCATGCCTTTAACCTTTCTGACGTGCGATAAAGGTGAAATTCCGTTTGCAGATTTGTTATCGAATTGGGCGACTGAATACTTTTACTCCCTATTCCAGGTTCCGGAGTGGGTCCCAACTGTGATACATATTTTGACTAAGTACTCACCAAATCATAACCACCTTAAAGTTCCTGAGAAGTACGTTTTCTGTAAATTTTGATAAGATCTCCTTGAATGTTAATAATTCCTTCTACTGTTGCAGCAATATCAGACCTGCACGTCTTCTATCGTATCAGCTGCGGGAACTCGCGTTCGTGTCATATTTTTCAACTATTTTTTCTCGACCAGCGCTTTCAGCTGTTTGCGACGTAACACCTTACTGTGTGAAGTTCGAGTAGGTTACTTACATTATCAGAGGTTGCTAGTTACGTGAACATGAAGCAGTCGTTTCTGTCCATGTGTAACGGTGTGCCCTTTTGAGTGATCGGACCTGAAAGATTTCGAAAGCTGAAAGTGTCATCGAATGCTAGTTCCATTTTCTCCACTCCTTTAGTCGAGCTTCTCAACTACTCGATTCTTTTCTTGTAGTCCTAATCTCGTCTGGTACACATTCTCTGCGTACGCTTTGTTAGACAAAAACGTTACTTCAAATGTCCTCTAGCTTAAATTTTAGCGCCTTTAGTTTTGCGTCAAGATCATGCTACTTTCTGCTGATAGATTCTGATGGGGAAAGCGGTCGGTGAATCGCCTAAGGCTGACATTCTTTGCTATAGGAGAGCTTTTTGTTCCTGAATTGTCTAGTTCATGTGACTTTTTCGCAGTATCCTGCGTCGCCTTGCTCATAGAGCGATTCGTGGTTTCAGGAATAAGTAGGGATAGAGTGGCGCACCGGCTGCTGTTCGGAGTAGTTCGACGTATCCTACAAAGGGCCAAAAAAGACACTTCTCTTCCTAGACTTTCAAGAAGCTATAAGTCACACTTTATCAAATTCTGATTGGATATTTCCACCGACATATTCAAGAGTATTGTATTGCAGTATAGATGATTTCGAAGCTCTTGCATCAAATTCTTTATTGGTGAGCTTTCGGCGATAACGCCGTCATCAGACCTTCAAATTACAATACATTACCGGCCTACAGCTACAACATGCATTCTACAACAATTACATCAACATCAGCATCAAAATCTACCAAGGATTAGGGAGCGGTGAGCCTGCCGGTGCGGGCACAAGATCTTCTGTTGAGACATTTATTATTTATTTATCATGCAGGTAGCCCTATGAGGTCACGTAGCTCCTCCATTGTGTTGATTTACTAGCGCTTAGATGCGAAGCATTGCGATTTTTCCGCGCTTCCATGAATTTGTCCTCTCCAGTATGTTCTGTGAGGAAACACTATCGTCGAAGTCTGGCCAGCGGTTACTCATACTCATGTTTGGTCCCTGGAAGCCGGCGCGTACGCCATTCATAGATCCTGGGTTTCGAATTAGTGAGGGTCTCTGACAGTGTCGCGTCCGAGCAGACCCGGCGAAAATGCAAGCATATTGTATACTAGTCAGTATATTACACCGCTCCACAGCCTTCTAGGCATGCAGCGTCATCGGAACTAGATTATATGCCACGCGACCGTGATTCGGCTACCTGAGTCTATGCGGCATGATCGCTTGATTTCTCCCTTATGCACAACCTGTTGAAGCTCCTCGAAACCGCGTGATGGAGGGGGTATTTTCATTCAGGCGGACACACTTACTTAGCAATATCCGCTCTTACTTCAGCACTCAGCGCCCTTCCATTCCAAGTAGGCGAGAGTTTTTGAAAGAGCTTCGATTCCGTGTTTAAGCACCCGGTCCTGTAGCAGCACGAAGTTTCCAAGAAGGTATCAAGCACGAATGTGTTAGGAAGCCGGTCACTACTTCACGAGTTAGTAGCTCGATGTAACCGCCAGCGCTCACCTTCAGTCCGGGTCCAATATCGGTCTTTCCATTCCAGGTACGTCCGGTCCATACCATCAACCCGCGCCTTGGCGACTGCGGTGAAGATGATGTCCTAGACCGTAGCGACGTCGGAGCTGCTCGATGTTGGAGGTCTTCCAGATCGAGAGTACTGGTCTCCAGGTAGCTATCCATGGGTGACTCCATACTAGAAGTTTCGCAGCTGTTTGGAGGTGAATTCCAAAGGTCTTCTCCAGTCAGGCTGCGACTGGAGATGACTTCATATTTTGGTGTACATGAAGGTGATGGGCGAGAGCCAGCTCCTGCTTATCGAGGAACATCTTGGGTATCTCCTCTGAGCTGCGAAAACTTTGCTGATATGTGACTCGGCCGAAGTATCTTTTTGGCCCCGCTGTAGATGCGCCATCGAGCGCGAGCCAGCAGAGAGCTCCTTACAGGCTGGCTCAACTACAGCTACACTACTACATACTACAGTCAGTATCTCGTTCTCCTCAATCCATGTCTTATACTACACCTGTGTTTGCCGAGTTTGCCCATCAATCAGATGTAGAAGGTGCTCGGTGGGATGAGTCCCATCATCGTCATACCTCAGAGGCTGTCTTTCATAACTTCCGCACAGCCACTTGTATGTGATGATTTTCCGAATATTCAAAAATTTAGCTCAAAAGTCCCTCTCGAGAAAGAGCGTCTGAACCAACGTTCTCTGGCTGTTGTTAATAATGTGAAAACGCTGCTTCAGCCGGCGTACAGCGTCGTGATGGGTGAAGTGGCGACGTTAACCTCTCCCGGAATTTCAGAGAAAACTTCAGCAACTGGAAAACAATTTTCTCAAAGTCCAAGGCACTCCCAGCGACTAACTGGGCGTGGCCTTGGACTTTGATGAATTTTTTTCCAGTTGTTGAAGTACAAGGTCACCTACTCAGATACTCTCAGTGTAGAGCATCGTTGCAAGAGTCGAGTCTTATGGTGGTGGTGGTGAGGGGGGGGGGTGACCGACCACCCTTCCCCCCACTCCACCACCATGAGACTCGATTCTTGCAACGATGCTCTACACTGAGAGCCGACTGGTGTCGCCTAGTGTGATATAGTGTTCTTACAAAGGAGGCAATGAGAAGGAAGGGATGAGGATAAGTACGACCTTCAACCGTTAGCGAAGTGGCGACCTACATTCGCAGTGCACTGTTAGGGCCTAGTTTATTGTGCCGTAGTGCTTGCAACATATTCGACATAAAATTTGCGAAAAAAAATCAGACGTGCGATACGGATATTGTCGTTTGCTACCAAAACCATAGGGGGAATAGTGACGTTCAAATTTAATCCGATCTCCCTGTGGGATGCCCCCGCTTTCAACTTCCACTCACAGTCATAGTAACATATGAATGCGATCTGTCTATACAATGACTTGCACATGCCAGCCGATGTGCAGGACAATGTTTCTGTCCCCTAGATGAGTCTGGTTCTAACTAACCTTCCAGAGGGATTGAAAACTCGGCTGGTCCAGGCTGGAGCCATTCAGGACTTTGACCTCGGACAACATTCTTGTTAGGCGGCACCACTTGCCGCTACATCATCTCCATCCTGTTGTTTCTTTTCACTATGGATGTTTTGAGGGCGTCATTATCATTTCAAGTGAGTTTCACTTTGATTGTACTACACACATTTTTTTCAGACGTATTACTATCTGCATTCCTGAAGACTATTCCTACGTTGATGATCGTTATTTCCTTGCGACGATGAACGTACAAATTGTTGCGCTGTGCTCGCATTCAGGAGATCAGCCATTGGTCAGTTCACCTTTCAGCCTTCTCTTTGATACCTTTCATTTACAACTGTGGTTCCCGTGACAGAATTCACGACGATTACTGGGAATCGGATCCCTCCCCCTAATTTCCACTGTGTGCCAAGGATCGCCGCTTTTGAAGTGTCACGGCTATGGTAAGTTCTATTCAAGATTACACTCATCTGGGTTTTATTGCCTTTATCTTGCTTAGGGATAATACGAGCTATTGATCTCGAGAAAAAGTTATTTTATTTGATTACGCCTATTCCATCATCAGAACTCTCCAAAGTTACTATATTTGCTAGAGGAACAGATATTATGGTACCTCGAATGTTGCTAGAGTCCCAGGTAAGCCTCAAACGCATTTTATAGCTACTCTGCTTGTAATGTAGCTGATATGAAGGACAAGATACCTAGTCTGTCTGTCTCTGTGCGACAGCGTTTCCTCCTAGCACGTTTGTTCCCCAACACGTGAAAGCAAAGGTTTCAAATGATTCGCTTGTATTTCCATGGTCGCCGTTGACGCTAAAGTGTGTTAGGTAGAGGAGGTTTGGCGCGGCGCCAACCCGTTTTCCATCAGTTGTTGAGGAGGCAACGAGCGGTGGTTTCAACATCTTATCAGAAGGACCTCGACATACAGTCGATAACATCGCAATCAGACAGGTCGATTCAAAGGATAGGGCTTGCTTCCCACTGGTCTTTTCCTCCTGAATCGTTCGCTAACTGACCAATATCAGTAGAGCAGAGAAGCCGAAGTCTGGCTCATTCCGCTCTCCTTGGGTCGCCCCGACTCTATCCCCCGAAAGCCAAAGAAAGAACAAATCGTCCCTATCAGGAAATTCTAGAGTACGATTCGAGAAAAAAAGAAAGGGAAATGAGGGAAATGCTCGGCTGGCCTCCTTCCTCCCTCGAAAATAAAAATAGGCCTTTCTTCTTCTGTCGAGGAATCTTCAACAGTGAAGTTCGGTGTCAGTCACCCATTGAAGTCATTGTTGATTCACTTCCATCTATTTTGAACGCCCCCAGCTTCATTCTGGTTTGGTAGGGACTCACTAGTCACTCCTCTTTATGCTTATTTCAAGCTCCCCATTTGTCACCCTGAGGAATGCAAAGTAGGATTTTTGTTTACCGGTTTACCCATTTTGCTATGGAATTCAATTTTTCAGCCTGCTGGTAATGTTCCGTATCTTTCACGCCCCGCACTCGCGTCGAAGTCGGGCATTATTTCTGATCTCTATGATGGACTGAAAAACATCACAACTGGGAAGCGTGCATATTTTCCGACGACATCTTAGATTCTCCTGTCCGTTCTTCTCATAGGTTTTAGCCATTTGTTTACACTATGTTGTTACTGTTGTTGTTACGCATGCTGCATGAATTTGAGAGCTTAAATAAATGCATCAAATCCAATTGGCACGATGAATCTGCAAAACGTACAGGATTAATAGCCTAGCAGGACAGAATTCGCCGCCCTGAGCAGGGCCGATTGGTGATTTTTCCAAGGAAGGTACCCTCTTATCAAGCTGCAACATACCGACCCGGACGCCCGCCGCCCACAAATGTCCGACCGATGCTGATGCTCGTATCGCTTCATTTGCGAAGTACAATATGAAGCGAAGGGATTGATATGAAGCGGCTGCGGTGCTGCATGGATAGATGAGTACAAAACATGCAGCCCTAAGTACCGTAGCGGTTACTGCCAACGGGGAACTCGTCCGAAATTGCTTACTGAATAGTGTAGAACAAAGGCTTTCTCACAGGTTTTTGACTGTTTTACTTGGCATTTTCGCCACTTTTCTACTATAAATATAGCATCGCTGCTATAAGGTGGTGCGTGCGTGTTTATATGTCTTCATAGCCTGGGACTAGCTTCCTAAAGACATCTGCACACTCATCTCCGTGGACGCAGCTCCTTGCCTTGTGTGCGGAGAATCCAACCGCAGCGGCAGTAGCGTGCATCTCTTACTGCGTTCAGAAGTGCATGGAAACGAGACTGTAGGATAGCAGCCGTGTGCTGCCTCCATACTTTGCCGGAGGAGGGAAAAACTCACCCATGCGCGTATGCGGCGCGGTTTCTTCACGGCGCCGCGGCGGCAGGGCGGAGCGAAAGGCGATGGCCCGCGTCTCCGGCGCTGTGCTCCAATCCAGCAGCCTCTTTTATGTGGAAGGAAGAGGAGGGAAAAGTAGAGAGAGGAAGGGAATTGAACAGATAGTGGGTGCATATGTGAGTTAGTGGTAGTGGTAGGAGATCACAGAAAAGTCGACTATCACGAATTACTTCAGTGAATGGCAGAACTGGCGGCATAGTTCCCTTCGATTGTGAAAACGACGCAAGCAGCTTTTACACGAAAGTTCAAGCTGAGGTTCGGCAAAAGCCAACTTGGTTGTGACCTTATAACGCTATAACGTCACGTCCCATTCGAAGGGAATCATTCTGCCAGTTCCGCTGTTGACTGAAATAATACGCTCTGATTCTCGACTTTTCTGTATTCTCTGCTCACCATTACCACTAACTCACCTATGAGCGTTCACTATTTGTTCAATCCTCTTTTCTCTCCTCCTCCTTCCACATAATGGGGCATAAAAGGGGCTTCTGATTGAAGCACAGTGGCGGAGGCGCAAGCGATCACCCTTCGCCCGCCCGTCGCCGCGGTGCCGTGAAGAAACCGCGCCGCATACGCGCACGGGTGAGTTTTTCATACGCGAGCCATACTTTGCCCGCCGGAAGGGAGAGGACAGAGAAAGTAGCGCTTATAGCTATGGCTGGGCGCCTCAATGGCTGGGGAATCCCCAATAGGGGGGGGGTCGTATTTGGCCGCCAGGAGGGGGGTATTTGGGCTGAGAAAAATTTATTTTGATAGTTGATTTTTCTCGCTTCACGGACGTTGTAAAGGAGGGATCATACAGACTCGACCAAAATCCCGAACCAGTGATGTACCTTGGTACGGAGGCGGCATACGCGGATCACTATCCGATAGCTCTGTTCTTGTGTACCGCTCACCGAATAAAGTGGTAAGCTACTGCAGCTGCGGACCCATGCGCTCCACAAACAGCGAGGATCGAGATCCATGTAGGTGAGTGTAGAGCTTGTCCCCAATTGTTCAACTCTGCGCCTGCTTGAGGCGGAGAAGCTAGGGTATTTCAATAATGCAGGTATTATGATCATCGACGACGTCAGTGGATTGGGCCCGGAGCTTTTCATGACTGACTCCGTGGAAGCATGGTTATCACTGAACGATAAATTGTAAAGACACGTTCCAAAATCTGAATCCACGTGAGTAAATGATAATAACTGGAAGTCGCACTTTGCATCAGTTTTCACACAGTGGTAAGTTGTTTGGCTGCTGGCGCATTGAGCGTTGCTGTTTGTGCTTTCCAGGGAAGGAATGGGGACGACGTGGTCCCGCTTCCGCCTTTTCTGGTTCGGGAAAAAACCTTGCCGGATTCCTAATGGTGAGCTTCAGCTGCTTCAAGAATTTTGACGAAGGCTCTGGTTCGGACAATCAATAGAATGCCATTAACTAACATCATCTTACCATTATTGGTGGAGCCTGAACTACTAAGCCTTGTACCACCACGAATAGAGACACTTGGAGATCCGCGAAGCGAACGGTACTACAAGGAATTTAACTACACAAGTTCGAACGAGCTTTCTGGATCACGTTAAGCTGCCCTTGTGAGAAGGTGAAATAATTGCGCTGTTTCTTGGGGAACGTTTCTTAATAGGTGAAACACGAGACAGCAACCGATGTTGGGCAGGACTGGTTCATCGAAGCTGAATCGAAGAGTCCGCCAAAAGAAAATCGCATATGTCGGTCTAACAAGGGAGGCCTTTCAGGTCGTGGCGCGCTTTTCGGAAATGGTTTGTTGCTTGTTGTAGGGTCCATATGAAGGATCACAAAAATGAAACCCATTTTTGTGATCCTTGTATGGACCCCTACAACAAGCAACAAACCATTTCCAAAAAGCGCGCCACGACCTGAAAGACCTCCCTTGTAAGGCTGCGTTCATACCGTGCGACGTCGTCGTCAACGTCGACGTAACCGACGAAACCGACGTAACCGACGTTTTCTGCGACTACTTCGCGAAGAGTAAATATGTATTGATCCGACGAAAGCGACGTAACCGACATTTTCGGCGACTAGAGACTAGCATCGATCCATGTGTCGACGTAATCGACGACAGAAGATTAGATATGTACCGACTGACGTGGTTTCTTCTAATCGATACGTATATAATCTTCGCGAATAGTCGATTACAGTAACGTCGGTCACGCCGACTTGACGACGACGACCCACGGTATGAACGCAACCTAAAGAATTGGAGGCCAATCGATACATATCTAGTTCATTTCCGGATTTCATGATTCTCCAGTGTCGGAATGTATGGACTCGGCAAAACTTTTTGTTCAGGTTGGTCTGGATAACGCTGGAAAAACTACGGTTCTATATAAACTCAAACTTGGCGAGGTAATCACAACGATCCCAACAATTGGTGAGCGAAATTGAGTTCAACGAGCTGAGGTGTTTTGAATGAGGCTACTCATGTTCAGTTCTAGCTGTTGCAATATGGCAACATTGAGCCTATATTAGCCTATACATTTCTCGTTCGCGTGATCTTTTGAAGGTTAGGCCCTAATACCATGTTCTTGCGTTCGCAGTGATTCTTTTGTAGAGGAAGAAGTCGTTCCGCACGGCAGGGCATCGGAAGCTATAGTCCTAGATGCTAGCTCGGCTTAGAAACCACATATCTGCTGACAAGTCCCATCTATCAGTTGCAAAGAAAATGCTGTCACTTTGAAAGAGAAATGTGTCGAAACTGACAATAACGAATGACTATTCAGTATCTGATAGTAGGCGCATGGTGGAGGAAGGATCTTATCTCCTCCACGTGGTGCCGCTGGATACTGCTTCGCATCTGGCGAGCTGCCGATGAACGCAAGGACATCCCGAAAGGCAGATGACAGGCGCTCTCGTGACGGGCGGCGGCCATTTAACGGGATGAACCACTCCGTGGTAACATGTTTTTAATCCATGCCCCTATGTTAAGTTCCGTCATCCGGCAGTTGATCAGTTTGTGGGTCAGTCACGGGCCGCAGCGCGTGCCAGGAACTATTTGCTTTTCCAGGCTAATTTAGTCATTTTTTCCACCTTGTGAAGATAAGGAGCTGCTAATCTGGGAAAAAGTAGCCAAAACAGTGAAAAGTTGGAAAAAATGACTAAATTAGTCTGGAAAAAGCAAATAGTTCCTGGCACGCGCTGCGGTCCCGCGTTGACGACCGCCCCAATCAACTGGGCCGGATGATGAGGGTATAATCGAGATAATGCTACTACGCGTCGCGGGGTACCGACGCGCACGTTCGCTGTAAGGTTGGCGAGCGCTAGAAAGTAGCGGAGGGTCTTCGGTTGGCAAGGTTCGGCGGACGAGCTAGCTACGTCCAAATCCCTGGAGTTAGCGTAATATATAGTCCGATATTGCAAGGCAAACTGTTGGAATCTTGACCCGGGACGTTCGTCTGAATTGAGCAGAGGCACTGGAAGCGGCAGGACGAGTCGATTTCCTGCTGGGGGGCAGCTGCAGGAAACAAGATGGTCCAGTTGCAAGTCGAGAATTCTTGGTCGGGTTTCAAAGCCATTGTTTGCGGTACGCCTAGGACCACTAACGGTGTGGCCATAATCGTCTCACGACGTTCCCGTGACTCGATAGCAAGCGTGTTCGATCGAACCGTGCAAATGAAGACTGTTCTTGCTATGGAACAGCCCTGTACCACTTCTTCTCTGCATATGCTCCTGATGTGCTGAACAATCAAAGGACGAGTTTTGGACTCTGCTTGAGGAGAAGACAGCTGAGGTACCGTCAGAGGACGTCATAATTGTCGCTGGTGACCTTAACGGGCACGTGGGCGCAACGAAAGGCGGTTACAGTTGTCATTCTCTGTTTTCGCAGTTATGGGAACAGGTAAGGTCCGTGCATTCGAATTCCAAAACGCGTCACCTGACGTTTCGCACCTGGAAGAAGTGCTGCAAATCAGGGTAGCAGCAATCGGTGTGCGAAATCCCGATAGGGGGGTCGTACTTGGTGCGGCCGCTGGGGAGAGGGGGGTCGTAATCTCAAGGGTCACTCAGAGCCGGGCAATGCTTCGACATTTCAGTTGATAGTGGGAGTGGAGCTATGGAAGTTAAGATGTTAAAAAAATGAAAATTATTATGAGTGTATTCTTTACAGATTGAAATGCTACGTTTGACAGCCCTCTTTTCATGCGAAATCCCCAATAATGGGGTTTCGTACATTGCCC